TCGTCCTTACTCCCTCGGCCGACACGAGGTGACCCAAGAAGGACACCTCCGTCTTGAAGAGATCGCATTTCTTCGGTTTGAGCTTAAGGCCGGTGGCTCGGAATCGCTCCAGGACCGTGGTCAGCCGCTTGTGGTGTTCCTCGAAGTCTGCCCCCCACACGATCACGTCATCCAGGTAGACTACCGCCACCTGCCACTGCAACCCCCTCAACACTTGCTCCATCAGACGCTCAAATGTCGCAGGAGCGTTGCAAAGGCCAAAGGGCATAACGGTGAACTGGTACAGGCCGTTCTGCATCCCAAAAGCCGTCTTCTCCCGGTCACCCTGGTCCATGCCGACTTGCCAGTAGCCACTGGCCAGATCAAGGGTGCTGAACCACTTCGCCCCGCTCAAAGCGTCAAGGTTGTCCTCGATTCTGGGGATGGGGTAGGCGTCCTTCATCGTCACCTCATTGACTTTCAGGTAGTCGACGCAGAACCGGACAGACCCATCCTTCTTCTGGACCAGCACCACCGGGGATGACCAAGGGCTGTGGGAGGGCTCGACCACGCCGTCCTGCAGCATCTGTTTTACCTGCCGGTCGGCTTCTTGCCGTTTATGTATCGGCAATCTCCTCGGCGGTTGACGTATAGGCGTTGCTGTCCCTGTATTTATTGTGTGTCGGGTCAGTTCGGTCTGACCAGGTTTGCCATCCGAGCCGGTGAATGCTCCAGCGAATTCCGTCAGCAATTCAGCCAGTCGGGAACGTTCAACACGGTCAAGGTTCGCGGCTCCTCGCTCCAGGAGGTCTTGCAGATGGGGCGGTACCTCTCTCTGGGCATCCGTCCTCTGTCCGGCGTCACCCAAAGGGAGGTGGTTGACGGCAGATCCTTGTTGCCTGTCCTTCAGCTCAATCACATCCAGACCCTCCATCGGTGAGAAGAGAGCCAAGCGGCTGCCTTTGTAGACCGTCACAGGGTCGGTCGTCGGGTTAAAAACCCGAACCGGCACGGTTCCATTGTTTGTGTCAACCAGGCCGGTAGCGACCGCGACCCGGCAATTGTCCGTAGCCTCCAAGCTGGGGTAAACCATCCCGACTCCCATCCTTGGTTCAGTCTTTATCTCCCCCGTGAGGATCGCCTCGTGACCAGCTGGGATTATCATGTTCTCCGTCACCTGTACTCTCGCCACCATGGGTTTGTGCGTAACACCTCCCAAGGGGACCGCCTTCCCGTTAATGATGACAGCGTTGTCTCCCCATCGCCATTCGCAGTGATACTTTGACAAGAAATCAATTCCGAGTATCACGTCTGGCTCAATATCGGCCACAGTAAAGGTGTGGTTTGCGCACAGATCCCCCACTTGTAAGTCGAAGTTGCCCCCTCCTCTTGTCGGCATGGGGCTGCCGTCCGCCATCCTCAGAGCTGGAGATGACGGAAGGAGGTTCGGTCTCTCGGCACTGGGCCAGACGTTGTAGATTCGCTCCGAGATCAGACTCACTGTTGCTCCGGTGTCTACGAGGCAACGCACTGGTTTCCCCGCGATCCTCCCCGCCACGTAATTTGCCTGAGACGTCTAACTCGAGGCCGGCCTGGCCCGAACAGCCGGCTCCGGAACAGGAAGTTTCGGTATTTCCTCTTTCTGTGGTCGTGGTTGGAAGGAGGCAGACTGCCGTTTCTGATTAGGGCAGTACCGCCTGATGTGTCCAAATTCGTGGCACCCATAGCACTCAACCTGGGCACGCGCACCTGGTGTGTACATGGCCCAGGCAGCCGATTTGGGTTCTTCGGCAGGGGTTGGAAGAGGCTGGGCTACCGACCTCACGTCCCTAGCCATCGGTTTCCCTTTTCTGTTTTGCGCTTGCGACTCGAGAAATGCTTCCATTTCGGTCGCCAGAGTGACTGCTTCGGTCAAAGTCGTTGCTTTCCTGGAGAAGATGTGACGCTGCAGCTGTTCCTCTCGCAGGGCATTGCGGAAAGCCTCGACCGCCAAATCCTCACGGGCCTGTGTGGGCAGCTTCGGGTAGCTCTTCAACACCAACCGTCGGATGGATTGTCCTAGGCTACTGAGTGACTCGTCTCGGCCCCTCGTACGCATAGACAACTGAGCCCGATGTAGTGGAATCTGTGCTGTCACCCCGAACCGCTGCTCGAAGTTTTCCAAAATGGAGGAATATTCCTTCCGCGTTTCCGGTACCATATCCGCCAATGCCTCCTGAGCCATGCCCTTTAGGTGAGATGCAAGGAACATCGCCTTCTCCGCCTCACCCCACTAATTTACTGCTGCAACGCTCTCGAAATGGATCAAGTAATCCGACCATGACGAGATCCCGTCAAACTTGTTGGGGAGCATCAGTGGTCTCCGACCCCCCGGCCCGAAGTGATCAGGCGTTGTAGTCCCCCGCTTGACTGGCACTTGGGGAGCGCGCCCCCCCCCCCCCCCCCCCGCCTGTTTAGGGGCCGCCCAAACATCGGCAGGAACCGGGTCGGCCCCCCCCCCTGGGAGCACCGGGTGGTGCCGTCCCAGGGGATCTCCCAACTGCAGTGGTGTACGGCCGAGCAGCCGGGTCGGTTCCGCTCCGTTGGCTTGTGTGCGGAACAACCGTGCCGGCTCCGCCCCATTGGCTTGTGTGCGGAGCAACTCTGCCCCATTGACTCCTGTGCGGAGCAACCTCGTCGACTCCGCACCATTGACTTGTGTGCGGAGCAGCTCTGCCCCATTGACTCCCGTGCGGAGCAACCTTGCCGGCTCTGTGCCATAGACGTCCGTGCGGAGCAACCCTGCCGGCTCCGCGCCATAGACGTCCGTGCGGAGCAACTCTGTCGGCTCCGCCCCATTGACTTGTGTGCGGAACAACTCTACGGACTCCCGTCCATTGACTCGTGTGCGGAGCAACTCTGTCGGGTCCGCCCCATAAACTCCCGTGCGGAGCAACCTCGTCGGCTCCGCACCATTGACTTGTGTGCGGAGCAGCTCTGCCCCATTGACTCCCGTGCGGAGCAACCTTGTCGGCTCAGCGCCATAGATGTCCGCGCGGAGCAACTCTGTCGGCTCCGCCCCATTGACTTGGGTGCGGAGCAACTCTACGGACTCCCGTCCATTGACTCGTGTGCGGAGCAACTCCACGGGTTCCACTCCATTGACTCGTGTGCGGAGCAACTCTGTCGGCTCCGCCCCATAAACTCCCGTGCGGAGCAACCTCGTCGGCTCCGCACCATTGACTTGTGTGCGGAGCAGCTCTGCCCCATTGACTCCCGTGCGGAGCAACCTTGCCGGCTCCGCGCCATAGACGTCCGTGCGGAGCAACCTTGCCGGCTCCGCGCCATAGACGTCCGTGCAGAGCAACTCTGTCGGCTCCGCCCCATTGACTTGTGTGCGGAGCAACTCTACGGACTTCCGTCCATTGACTCGTGTGCGGAGCAACTCTGTCGGCTCCACCCCATAAATCCCCGTGCGGAGCAACTCTGTCGGCTCTGCCCCATAGACTCCCGTGCGGAGCAAGTCCACCGGCTCCGTCCCATAGAGTCGTGCAGTGCGGGCCTGCTCCTAGTGGAGGTCAGGACTCGCCGCACTGCGATAGTGGGGACGAAAGTACTGCTGGGGGAGATCCACGCCCGGTTGTGCCACCTGATGCGTGCTCGGACGGTTTCCCGCCCCCGCTATATGGGCAAATCCCGAATGGGAGGCCACACCAGTCGTATCCATGTAAGCACCGAGTGGCGCTTCAGTACTATTTTCATGAGCGTAGGGATTGCGGGTTGCCCCAGGACGAAACCCCGCCCCCGCTGCATCAACCAGCACAGCTCGGGATCGTTCCGAATGGAACGAAACGTCTGCTGCGCTAGCGTCTACAGCACGGGGCGGCCCCTCGCGGGACCCGGCATATGCGGCTTTATTACCAACAAACTGGGGCATGTCCCGACGAAGCCCCGCCCCCGCTGCATCGGACAGCACAAATCGGGATCGTTCCGAATGGAACGAAATGTCTGTTGCGCCATCGTCTACAGCACGGGGCGGCCCCTCGTGGGACCTGGCATATACTGTGTTGTTACAGAATATCTGGGGTATATCCCGACGAAGCTCCACCCCCGCTGCATCGACCAGCACAACTCGGGATCGTTCCGATTGGAACGAACCGTCTGCTGCGCCGCCGTCTACAGCACGGGGCAGCCCCTCGTGGGACAGGGTACCAGTCATTGATGATTTATGGTAATGAGCACGCCCGCCCCCCGCAGGGGTAGACGTACTGCAATGACTTAACCCCCCGCCCAAGTCCCGAAATTCCACTTTACCATCCCCCACATCCTCCCTCATGAGAAAATCCGTCCCCAGAAACCCCCTTGTCTCCCCTTTCCTCCCTCCAAAATTCCCCGGACTATCCCGCAAAAAGGATTCCAACTCGTTCACCGTGACGAAGGTACTGCCGGCCGATCCACTAGACGGGACCCCACTCCGTGAGCCCGCACTCCAGCCTGCCTCCTCGCCGTGTGGCGAGTTAGGTGTCAGACTTCCGTGATCCCCTGAATTCATTGCAGAAAATATCTGAAAAATTCACCTGTTTTTCCGCCTTCTGCGTGCCGCCGCGCTGCCACCAATGTAGCGTAGAACAATTCTGGGGTTCCTCACACGCACTCAAAAAAGGACTCCAACACAGGTATACTCGTTTCTGCTGGTTCAGGCTGTTTATTCCTCCAAAAACGTACACCGCAAAACACAACTATTCTCTTCAGCAACGAGGCAACAACAATACTACTGCGCATGCGCCGCCCGGAAGAACGGGCCTCCCCGGCCGGCCACCAGGGGCTCCACTGCGCGGCTCCACCGTGGAACCGCGCTGGTGCCCTCTGGCGGCCGACCGGCACGGACGCCACAGTATTAAGTAACCGTTAAATCGGCCTTCGCAGTCATAAGGCTGTTTGTCCAAAACTATACTTACCAAAATTTACCCAAACAAAAATAGCGCCCTCCCTCTAAGAAAAGGCTATTGGTATCATCTTTTCTATGCAAACTTTAATACGTTACAGTCATGGTGTCATGCCATCAAGTCTGCTTCATCGGATCGGAGTACAACCCACAATCTGGTATCCCACCCCGTTGGTTCTTACCGTACCAAGATCCGTGCGAATGCACAGCTATACGTCTCGGTGGGGTGGGTATCCCTGCTTCGTCATACCGCCAGGGGGCGCCCCGTTACCTGGACGAGCTTTTCCTGAGTGAGGATTCCAACGAAATTCAAGCTTACTTCGACTGCGAGCCTGCAGAGCACAATACAGGTAAGAAGCATGTTTGGACTGTGTATATGGTATCGCGTTTTCGTATCATTACTGCAAAACAAGGGAAAACGATTTGCATTTTCACTACCCCAGTGTTATAGGACTTGAGTCCAGGACTCGGACTGGAGTCGGGCTCGAGTCACATTTTTTGTGACTCGGACTCGGACTCGACTCGAATCACATTGGAAAATGACTCGGACTCAGACTTGACCATGATGACTCGGACTCGAGCTTGGTGACGCGTGACTCGAGTCATGTTTGTTCATCAAAAGCAAAAAACATAACGTAGGGATGGAAAAGGATCATTTAGGAATAATGTTTGGATGATAAAACATGGAGGGAGGGAATGAAGGAGGTTTATTTTAGAGATGAGAATTAAAAGGAAAACCCTTTTTGGGTCTGAACAACATGTACACACACAAGGTAAAGTAAATACTGTACACGGTGATTTACTTAAAAGACAGAATGGATGATTGAAAAATAATTTCGGACTCGAGGCTTGTGACTCGGGACTCGAACTCGGACTCGAGGCTTTTGACTCGAGACTCGGAGTCGGACTCGAGGCTTGTGACTCGCGGCTTGTGACTCGGGACTCAGACTCGGCTAAACAACTTTTAGAATCGGATTATCTTCCAGTTTTGTTTGTTTACTCGTTTGTTACCAACAGAATGTTCCAGTCCGCAACCCCTAGGTATGGAGAACGGGACAATCCAAGATGATCGTATCACGGCGTCTAGTAGTCGGTACCGTTGCCCTTCCGGTGATGCACGCCTCAACAATGAAAACAGATGGAAACCTTTAAAGTAGGTATCAAAGGCAATACCAACCTGATACTTTACTCTCATATTATCACCCACTCTGCATTATTACAATGCCACAAAACGCTCCTGGGTGGGCTTCATTAATGAACATGTATCTATAATTGCATCAGTGGAGGTTTTTTCTTCTTCTTCTTCTTCTTCCTTTCTTGTTTCTTTTGTATTCTTTTTCCTTTCTCGTTCTCATTTTTAATATAAAAATGCCTCATCCTCGACCAAAGCCCAACCCCAATGCTCAACTGAATTGCACCATTTTCAAATCCATTCACACAACCGGATTTGCGGAGTATTGATATTTTCATTCTTCCTCACCCTCTCTTCGCTCTTTGTACATTAGCGATACCAATTCCTGGATCGAGGTGGACCTCGTTGAGAGCACAGTGGTGACAGGTGTCATCACACAAGGCTCCGGCCGCAAATGGTATGTGACTGCGTACAAGGTGGCGTATAAGAAGCAACCGTCATCCGACTTTGAACACGTAACAGATGGAAACGGAAACATCAAGGTTAATATCAATATTTACTAAGTCTTACTGTAAGGTAAATGTAAGCTTTATAACTAACATCGTTTTGAAAACAAAATTGTCAAATGAAATGTTTTTTTTATTTGGTTGGGTTTTTGTTGCGTTGTGATGCATGTAATTCCTTTCTGTACTTTTTGATTGGTTCCATGGTAATGCAACCATGTAAGTGTAAAGCCATTATGAAATTGTGCCTAACAACCCAAGCAAAAATCAGACAAGTTTGCTACATTCTATTCTATTATAGAAAGGTAATCGATGAGAAAGAAAGATTTTTTTCCAAAAAGAGCAAACTCAAGGAGCCCAAAAGGGGGACCATGTGGCATGAATTTGAACTATATTAGGCCCCACCCTGGACACACAGATCTTTAAGATTTCCCGCTTTTCTGGTAGTTGTTGTTCTAGTAATTATATTTCAATCATTGTTACAAACGTGCGTTTATTGTATCGGTTTTCATTTCAGGTGTTCATCGGTAACACGGATAAGCACACCCCGGTCACTAACCTGTTTGATGAGAGTGTGGTGGCCACGGTAGTACGCATTGAACTTACTGAATGTAAGACTTCGTGTGCCCTGCGATTGGAGCTGCTTGGATGTCGCCGTGATTAATGAGCTGAAGCATTCGGGTGATTTCTGTTTGACAGCGCAGACAAAAGATCATTCAATAACAAAATTAACGCGACATGTAGCTTCTATTAAGATTGATCGTAAATAATATACATGTATTTGGTATTTTGCGGATAGCAAGAACAAAATAACGACTTGAACAAATAGCTGCGAGCTCGTGCGTGAATTCGCGTCTTTAAGTAAACGGTATCTCGCGGGAAAATGCATTGAGGCAATGTTTACAGCTTATATTAAAATTAGTCAACCTATTTTCGTCTCTTCCTCAATCTTCGTTCGTAGAATGCAATTTCCAAAAGAAATCTGAAATTCAAAACAATGTAAATATAGTAAATAGAAAAAAATTACCTCCTGAAAAATGAAAGCGTGGTATGTGTTTAACGGCCTTATCTTTTGAATAGTTGTGGTGCCTTTCTTTTTTTTCCCAAGAATTTCTGGTCTAAACAGAAACGTCTTCACTATTGCATAAATTTGAATTACAGCATGACTTTGGGGTTAGGAGTCCTTTTCATTATTGTATACATGTATTCTTAAAAATAAACTTTACTATATTAATTAATTGAAGTTATCACATCTTTTGCTTTAGCTTTTTAATACACAGAAAAAATACATCATTTAATCTGATTTATAAAATTATTGACCTTTGTTGTTTGGTCAAGAGTATTTTGTTTACTATCATCTCGATAGTTAGAAAAAATCAGATGACAATTTTGATTGGTTAAAGACCTGTTGACGTTATGCTTTGTCAACTAACCAAACGGTTTAATTTAAGTAATTATTGTCGTTAATTTTATTCATAATATTTTAGTTAACCTTTATCAATCATTCACTTTAATCTCATACTTAATGCAACTCGATTAATTAACATTAATCTTTCTAGCCTTTCTTCTCTCTACTTTGCTACTTGTTATAAATCTTCACCTTTTTAACTGCTTAAGAACTCCTACCCCCGGGTGATGCTGATTGTTACGCGCATTGCGTGGTGCTCTATCATCATTTGTATCAGCAACAGCGCTTTGTGGAGGACGCTAAAAAAAAAAACCACAATGATATATAGATGAAACAAAATTCATTTGTTTTCATGCTTGTGAAATTAATTAGAAAATTGTGTTGAAACGAGAAGGCAGATGGCAGGCAGTAAATGGTTGTGTTCTTTTGTGTATATGCCGCTGTTACAGAATTATAAATCGTAATGGTAGCATTTTACGCTGGGCTATATGCAGCAGTGAAAAAAAAACGACTTTGCGATTCACCTAAACCCACATTCTGTTTTTAAGGTAAAATGAATTGTAAGACTTCAGCATCACTGTAATTGTGTTGAAGTTAATTTTCCATATCCCGTTTTCACTTCTGTCTCATATTGTCTATTCATTGCAGAAGTATTGAGGTTTCGATTAAATCCAAAAGACAGTCTCACTCAACTTCCAATGTGTAAACTCCTTGGTTGTTATTTTTTTCATTTGGTGTTTCTGACAAAAAAAGAAATCTCCCTCTCCCCCCCCCCTCCAATCTAAAGAATTTCACTGAGGGAGGTGTTTGGTTCGCAACACCAACCAAATTCAAACTTGGTGACCGTGACGACTGATCGCGAGACTCCAAACCTCCAAACACCACTGTGTATTATCCAAACACGTACACATTGAATTAATAATAATTGTGAAGCCACTTGTCATTTCCAGGCCACCATACAAATGTTCAAGTTTGACCTTTGTACCAAGTGTTCAGTATTTTCTGACATTGTGTAGCTCCAATAAAGCGAAGCAGCAGCGAAGCAGCATACATATTAAGACTAATATTTAGCCTCCATCCTCCGATTCTACACGCTACACATAGGATTCCACCAAAAGTTTTGCTGGGCACCAAAAAAACTCGGCGCCGATCATGCCGTTCTGGCGTAAATAACTGCTGAATGATCAATGGAATATAGAAAAAGAAGATTATGCATCCCAAGTAATACTCAACTTATATATTAAATTCAATGTTACCGGTAACATGGCCGGGACTGGACCGGTACGTATATGGCCATTACCGGTAGCCCCGCGCACCTAGGTTTGTATAAATACATTTCACAAAGTGCTTGGGAACGAGTTTACAAATATCTCCAATGGTCAACTTCACCAAAAGCCGTGATCTAATTGGTCAATTCATAATGTATTATGTAATAATAGGCAAGACGAGTACATGGACATGCACATACATGTTGTTATGTATAACTCGATGTTCTGTACTTAAGCACTTTCTGCTTAATTCAACCAAAACGTGTGGTCAAACAAGACCAAATTTAATATGGTCTTGTATGACTACAAGTATTGGTTGAATTTAACAGACATTTTAACCCAGACAATTGGTTGTAGGACCCAATTTTGGGTAGTTGCAGTTTTCATCCTTTCTTGGGTAAAATTAACCCCGGCAATTTTTGAACGAGTGTTACGCGTACTCTGCCAGCGCGAACGAATAATAATATTTAACAAACTGCGATTTCTGACCTGAAAACAAGCCCTCTGTTTGCGGCTGCCTGGCTGTAGGGCGCCCCCAACGGGAGTTAATTGAGTTTTTGCTCCTTCTAACCCCAAATTACCCCCTCCCCCTGTTCGCTCGAAATTGATGTGATCGGACGACGGTCCATCGGTCCCATTCAGATTTTGGGCGCATTTGTTGCGGAACCGCCATTGGTGACCCCTTTTGAAACGATTTACTGGTCTGCAACCCTAAACCCTGATAACCAATCGCCACTGCTGTAGGCGCTTTCATGACTTAACCTAACCTAGTCGAACTTCTCCTCATTACACTTAATTTGTTTCTTCAAATTTCCAACTTCGTCAAATTTCCGATTTTTCATCGAATCCTGACGGTAACACGCAGTGTGAGTGTTACAAATTGATGTGTCATGTATTGATAAGGTTGAGTTGTAAACGGGATTTTTTTTTTTGAAAAGTGCATGCACATATAGGTATCCTTGCAAACTGCCGGCCCGGAATCAATTTCATATCGCTGCTCATAATAAGTGAAGATCAAATTACGATAGGCACTTGCTCTGTGAACATCTCATGGCGAAGACGCACGGTCTCACACTTATTTGTTTGGTCACTAGCTTTCAAAGAATTTTGCCTCTGAACGGAGAGCACGGATCGTGTAATACAAGGCTTAGAAAGAAACATAATGGATGCCAAAAGGTTCCTGGAATTCGAGAAGACCACCCCTCGTCTTCTTCCACCTCCCCCACCCCTTCATTCCCCTCTCCCATCCACCCATCACCACCACCGACTTTCTCATTTTGAAATCCAAAATGGATTCGCCTTCGTATGTGCTACACACGGAGACACAACAACGAGTGTTACGCGCATTGCGTGGTGTTCAATCAGCCTTTGTATCGGCAACAGCGCTTCTGTGAAGGACGCTATAAAAAATTGATTATATAGATGGAAACAAAATTCACTTGTTTTCATGCTTGGGAAATCAATTTTGCAATTCTGGCGAAACGACGAGGCAGATGACAGGCAGTTAATGGTTGTGTTCTTTTGTGTACATTTCCAATGGTACTGAATTATAAATCGTAATGGTAGCATTTTACGCTGGGCCTACATCAGGGTCAAAATGACTTTTAGATTCACCTAGAACCATATTGTGCTTTCATTTTTATAAACCGTCAGCATCACTGTCCATTTTGACAGTTAATTTTCAATATTCCGTTTTCATGTCTGTTTTATAGTGTCATTTCATTGCAGAAATATTGAGTTTTCGATTAAATTCTAAAGAAAGTCTCACTCGAACTCGAGTGATTCTTTTTCATTTGGCGTTTCTGACCAAATTCAAGCCAAGTGACCACTGATCATGAGACTCAAAACCTCGAAACGTGGCTGTACATTGGATCACTCTCCCCCCCCCCCCGCCATTTTGCTCAGCACACAAAAAACGACGCTGATCATGCCGATCTCAAGTATACACGAAAAATAAGTGCTTGAATGAATAATTGAATAAACAAGAAGGTTGTGAATCCTAAGTAATCTTCAACTTAAATTTAACTTTGACTGAATGTTACCGTTAGCATGGCCGGGACTGGACCGTTGCGTAATATGGCCATTAGCCCCGCCCACATTTGGTTTGTATATACATTTCTCCCAGTGCTCGGGATGGACAGAGTGAGAGCTAGCTCTACTGGTCACCTGACCAATTAAATCCCGATCTAATTGGTCAATGGTGTTATGTGATGACATGCAAGACGAGTACATCGACATGAACATGCAGATACTTGTGTATAACTCCATGTACTGCATTTAAGAGATGCGACAAGGGTTACGCGTATACTCTGCCAGAGTAAAGAAGAAAAAAATAAGCTCTTAAATCATTCATTCTCTCGGCACTGCGCTTCAGTGAATTACACAATTACGGGGAGATGAAAAAAAACCAATTACCAAACACGAAGCAGAAAAACAGGTAGTTAATGGCTCGGTAATTCCTTTGTGTGTATTCCTACCAATACCGCATAATTAACGATACCTGTCACGAGAGATAACACGACTTATATATCATCATACATGGTTCACCCACGAGCCTTTTTTGTGGGGGTGTTTTTCTTCTTTCTTTTCTTATTAACCAGTATTTTTAAATATGGGCGTCACGAGAGGGGGAGAAAGAAAATAGAGTAAAACAATTAAAAAGATGGTCGGAAACAATGTTATCCTATAAATTAAATGCATATTGAGAAATTCAAACAGTCCAAACCGCTGAACCCCATAGACACCTCAACCCCCAACGCCATCCCCAATGCCTCTTCTTCTCGATATTTCTACTGCCCTGGAGACGCCTATGCTTGTAATCATGGTAGGCGATCGGGGAGTGGATCTTCGCTCGTACCCCCGCCCTGCAAACAGGAAGCTGGGATACGCTGATGAGCTTCACATAATCTTGTGAAGGAAGTGGCCTATGACCTATGTATAAAGCATCTGGCTGCAGCTGTTCAAGACCGCAGTTAGACAATATGCGCAAATGCTATCCGAAAACTTCCCATATAGAAATGCACACGTTCCATACCGGATGTGATTTCTTTTTCATTGCGGACCATGTGGACAAAATTTTGAGCGTCGCATAATGCAAGAAGTTTAACAGAATTTCCTACATTATTACGCTTTTCAACGAAAAAACCATTTCTAAACTGGAATAAAAGAGTAATGAATCAGTCTTAACGGCCGTTTCAAACCTTGCAGAGTCATGACCGTGATGACGCGCAGGTCACTGGTCACGCAAAATCCAACCAATCAGAGCGTGAATTCATCAGAGTATCCCCGCGTCCTGTTTGCAGGGCGGGGGTATGAGCGAAAGAGTGGATCATACTTTCCCATCTCCCCCGTATTATTTGTTGGCGGGGACGCCTATGCTGATACCCCGCTTCCCCGATAATATCCCAGTGTACATAGAATAGTTACCTACATTTTCGAAATCATTTTCCTTCAGTGTAAGACAGTTAAAGATATTGCTCTTTCAACGCCCATTGTATGTACATTTAAACTTTTCACCCTGTAATCACCAACATTGCACCCTGTTTAACATTTTGGAAGAAGCAAACAGAAGTGATCTTCCAAATGTCACCAAATGTCACCAACCGCAAGAATATACCAACCTTCAGATTTCAAAGCAAAGAGGGCAAAGCATATCAATACCCACCTTTGCCACCGCCTAGTTCATTTCCGTCGAAATTACTGAGCCAATCCAACGACTGGAAATTTTCATGGACGAGGAATGCAGTGCTTCCAAATACAACACCAAATAACACTAAATACTTCCAAATAGAAATCTGCAGCAGAGGCTTCTCTAATGCAGCCTTGCCAAGAAGCCGCACTTAGCATAACAAAAGGGAGGAGAAAGAACACTTTGGACCATGCAGCCAAAACAGCATTAAAGACAAATTAAGTAAAACTTAATGCATTTTATGGCTGACTGGTCTCGCTGTTAGCACAGAGTAGCCCGTTAAGAAGGGCGAGCTGTGCAACGTGGCAGACAGTGCAAGATTATATAATAGCGAAGTAAATGGAAATTAAAATCACAAAAGCCTAAATTCTCAAGAAATGCAGGGTGTGGTGAAATACGGCAGTAACAATTTTGGCAGCACAGAGAGAACAGCCATTTGAAAAAAACAACAACTGCGTCACCTCCTCCATCCCTCCTTCCACACACGGCATCAAGCCTCTGGGGTTAGGAGTCCTTACAAAGAAACAAATGTAACAAGAAAAAATATATCTCTCTCTCTATATATATATATAGATATATAGATAAAGTGAAAATAACAGGGTAAAACATTAAGTTATCAGTTTAAAAAAAAACAAAAAACAAAAAACACGACAACAACAACGAAGAAACAGTTGATAAATTAATACTTGAATTGAATTATTTGGTACATTGACCAAAATATTATGTTTATCAAGTTCAGGGCTAGTGGTGGCGAGATGGCCCTCCAAAACAGCCAAGAATAGGTAAAAACACAGAAGTAAAATCATAAGAGAATAGTTGACAAAAGATAAAGAAATATTACCAGTCAATAAATTACTAATTATATTAGCCTAGTTAGTACATGGAACAAAACATAATGTTAACAAAGTTCAGAACTATAATTGAAAAGAAAAAGTGTTAGCATCCAAGGTTGTAACAATGCAACAAAAATAAGTGATTAAAGAAAATAGGAAATATTTTCAGAGACAACAAATACAAAAGAGATCAGATGCCAAAGATGGTAAACCTAGTAGATATGTACTATGTTTAATTATCTCGTTAAGTAAGTAATATTTAATTTAATTGATTATTGTGTAAGAAAAGAAAAAAAAAAGGACTCCTCAACCCCAAAAGGTCGAGCTATAGCTAATGATGCTTAATTGTGTGAGAGACAAGTAAAGCAATAAGAGGTAGCTATGTACAATGGCTCGGTAGAAATTCCTAAGCTTTTACAGAAGAAGTCATTGGTACACCAAAGCCAAGCTCTGAGGGAATGGAGACGGTCCGCAGCGCAGGGATCCCAGGGGCTGGTTGGTCAAGCACATTACATTTAATGGCATCACAGTTGCACCAAGAGTGCACACGGGCGGTTGAGTTCCGAAGGTTATCGACGCCGGTGTTAGTCAACAACGATCTGCTTCTCTATACAACTCCATGTACTGTACTTAAGAGATGCTACGAGGGTTACGCGCACTATTGCAAGGTCAAGGAAGAAAAAAAAGAGAGCAGCTCTTCAATCGTTGATTTCTTTGGCACTGCTCTTCAGTTAAATTGCCCAATAGAGAGTGATAAACGTAGCAAAATTCTTTTTTCCAATTATAAAAAAACAATTACCAGGCACGAGGCAGACAAGTGGTAGTTAATGGTTCAGTTCCTCTGTGTGTACTCCTGCAAGTACTACCAAAGTTATGATATCCGTCACGAGAGATAACACGACATAATTAGGGAGGATCTCTTTATTTAACCCCCGGTGATAATAGCGGTACCGCTATTTTGTTGAGGTACCGGTATTTCCCACCAAGTGCCTCCGATAATGAGCTCATTATTAATGGGTCACTGCATGCACACAGGAGGTTGTCATATACTCACGAAGCATTTTTGTGTTCGGTTTTGTTTTGTTTTGGTAGATTATTCTTCTTTTTTCTCTTATCAACCAAGTACTTATGACTCGTAAGCATGCATGGTCGTCGCTAGAGAGGAGAAAGTTGGGATAAACAGGATGAAGAGAACGGTAATAATTTAAAAAAGATGGTCCAAGCCAAAAACAATATCCTATTAAATAAATGCATATTTGGCACTTTAAACAGCCGAAAACAGGTCAAAACGTAAATTCAATAGTGCGAGGAATTGACATAATGCGCCCTGTTGACTTCAGCTGGAGTCGGCTTGGTGCCCGTTTGACTGTTTTCTAGTCAATTTTAACGAGTGATTTCAGCGTGTATTATGCATATACATTTTTGAACAGCAACGGCGCCCGTACAGTAAGGTGGCGTCTCCCTCTCCCCTCTCAAATTGTCCAAGCTGTCGGTCCCCCAAACGCTGATAAGAAATCTCCACTGCTGTTGATTGCAAGTTATACATGCGCTTTGATCCAGTCAACCTGATACACTTCATTTTCTTTTCTCTGAAATTTCCAACTTCGGCACATTTCCAATTTCCATCAAATCCTTACGGTAACACGCAGTCCGAGTGTCACAAAAGGCGTTACGTACGGCTACTCTAGTGGACTGCGTCACGAATATTTTGCATTCACACCAGTTATCTCGCACTGTACTCCGGTAGTACTGTCAAATATGATAATTGATTGCAACGTTACCAGCTTCCACCATAAAACCCGATCAGCTTGTTAACGTGTACCAAAGAGCGGAACAAAAATATGATCAATCTAGTACGTGTTCTTTCCTGATTGGCTGGCTGGTTATGACGCCATCCTGTTCTGCGGTCTGGGAAGCTGCAGAGGTGAGCTGCATGGTTTGTGTGCACGGTGATATACCATCAACCTGACAGATTCTCAATCATTGCATCTGTGACAATGGACGGAGCAGTTGCTTGGATTCTGATGGTACCAGCACTGTCAGGTAGGTGAAAGTTTTGAATTTTGTGAATGATTTTATTCAAACAACCCCTCCCAAATAAAGACAATCATACCAATGATAATATAATAATAATGTAGTAACCTACCACCACTTTGGTGGATCTGGAAAAATATATATGGTGAGTGTTCAAAGAATGTTAAGTATTCCGTTTTCAATCAACATGTTTTCAATATAATAATTTACAATAAATGACAATTATTGCGGTTCATAAAACAGTGACTGTCTTCCACTCGATCTGCCCACCAAAGTTTTCTACCAGCGCAATCAGTACACAGTAGATACGTCATTGTTTGTCAGATAAAATGCAGTATGCATTTCTTTCAAAAATAAGTGTTAAAAAAGAAAGAGATGCTGTTGCTTTTGTAATTTAATGATGCACGCAGAAGGCCAATTAACTGGTGCTTATGTGCTGTGTGTAATCTATTGTAGGCAGCAAACCTGCATTTGGTACTCATTGACACTCCACCAATAGTTATTCTGTTTCAACTTGGAGCCTTAGTCGGCAAATCAACCACCAGATCAAAATACGGACGAGCAACACGGACGTTCCTAGATGGGATTGGGGTAGTGTGAATGGAAGTGGCATTTCTCAGCAAAACCGTGTCAGTCGGCAGATATGCCGCGACCATTAGTGCCAACTATTTTCATAAGATCGTCCACTTTAAACAGCCCCCAAAAAATACACAGAGGGTGTCCAACCCCTTCAGACTGTTTATATATTTTTGCGTGGCCCGGTGACCGAAAAAAGGCTG